TCTTATTGGTTTTAACATCTTTGGTATCCCCCCCGAACTCGTTCGGGGAATACAATTATTACGAGCATGATATATATACATATATGCATTGTAGACTTTACTACCGGATTAAACCACATTAATACTTAGACAATAAAATCGGTTCCAACCACCATGCTGCTTTATTCTATACTCACAAGCTCATGCCAATCTGCTCACAGTGTATACGCAATACAGTTCTGTTCTACTTTCTGTTTATGTTCGTTGACAGGTTAGTTTACGTTTCAGCTGACCTCAGGGTTAAACACTACATGCATATATTAATTATTATATTCATACTGTATAGACTGAGTTTCTTACGATACAAGAACTAAATGCACATTACACGTGAAATAATATTATTAAACATTGTTACTATTATCAAGTGCATAAATTCTACGTAAGTCCTGTCATAATTTCCACTACGCTAAAACATTTACTATTGACTATTGTCAGCTTTGCTTTTCTTTAGTCAGGCCTACTGAGGCTACTCTCTTTAGAAAATTAGTCAATATAAAGTCAGTAATGTAGAATGGGAAAAACTTGGCTAGGCCAATTTAGCTTGTACCGAAAACAAAAACATTTCATTATGTACTGTTAGGGTTACGGACCGGTAACACTGTAAATGGCATTGCAACATAACTACTCATCAAATTAAATCAAACTCATATCCATTACATACGAGAGATGTCTCTATACGCTCTCGACGAAAATCTTTTTTTTTAATTCATCGCTAATTCATTGACGGCAAAAATTGCGTGAATTTATATAAAAACATGCTATTTTTGCTATTTCTCAGTAAACAGCAGAGTTGGGACCTAAACTTTTAACCATAAGTTGTTCATAATATGAACTAAAAAAGGATCCTTGGAATCTTTTTTAAATGCTTTAATTTAGGAAATGAGTTAAAAAGATGTAGAATTTGTAGTGAATTTCTAAACGTAACAATTTCGTAAACAAAGAGCCATCTCATAAAATATGATTTAAAAAAAATATGTTAGCATTTTGGAATTTGGAAAATTTTGGAATTGGAGTTACGAATTTCGAGAAATAGCGCTTGAAAAATCACCTACTTTAGTATTTTTAACAACCAAGATAACAGCACTTTTCAAAATATTCCATGATTGAACGCCTATGTTAAGAATTGACTAATGCGGGGATTTGGAACTGCCTAACAGTATCCTTAAACAATCAAACATGTCATCATCAGCTTGTATAACTTTTTTCGGATGTTTCCCGTTTTCACAAGCAATTCCTACTTCAGCTTCCAATCTGGAAAGAAGCTGTAACACTTGAGTTGCATTCGTTGGTATTCCACACTACTCCGGTTCACAGGTATGCAGTGTGCTTGCTTGTTCACAGAGCCAAGCTGATCTTAGATCCGAGTCTGACAGTTCAAGATGAACTTTCAGCTTTTAGGTGCCCTCACACCATAGCCAAGGCTCGACACTAGCGGTGGCCCGGTGGCCCGGGGCCACCAAAACTTCATGTCGGGCCACCAAAATTTCCAAAAGTAAAATTTGTGGCCCGATCGGCCACTAAGAGATCATAAGTCGTTGTACGTGATAAAATTAATTGTTTCTTACGTGCTAACTTATCATCAAAAGAGGCGAGCAAATATCGCGGAGCGATGGCACACTACGCACTCAGCATTTTACCGGTGCGACGGTTTTACGATCGTCTACTGCGGCCTGCAACCCAAGCCACATTATTGTGTAGACGCCCAGGCGTGTTTAGATAAATAATGAGTGAAAGTAGAAAAAGGTATGCAAGATTCGGTGACAATTTGATGTCGTGGAATGGATAATTCAAATGTATCCTCAATGCATCAATTTGTCAGTGTGGCATGTTGGGGTTGTTTAAAGACCTAGTGCCAGCAGTCATCATACGCCCAATTTTCAAATAATATACAACACGAGATTGAAATTAAGATTTATGTTTTTCTTTGTTTTTTTTCGGGCCACCAGATTTCATTTTCGGGCCACCAAAAATTGAAAATCAATGATTTTGGTGCGGGCCACTGAAAAAAAAAGTTAGTGTCGAGCCTTGCCATAGCGTATGCTGAAACCTATGAGTTGCGTGTAAAAATATTTTTATACGCACCAAACGCAACCCAAATCAACAATTTTGTCGATTTTAACCTATTCAACCTATGGGTTGCGTGTGAGTTGTGTGTGGGTTGCGTGTGGGTTGTGAACTGAACTTATGATCCCCCAATATCTGCGATCACCTGCGTACGAGTTGCGTGCAGAACTTACGAGATTCATGGGTATTCGGGGGGCATCTTTATGAAGTTCTTGAATGCACCTTGGTCCTCGTTCCGGAGCTCCACCAGAAGCTGGTCGTAGAGACCAAAGTGAAGGCGCCTGCTAATCCATGGTCTAACCCACACTCTTCTTCTTCTTCTTCTTCTCCCCCTTCTGTTTATTCTATTCTGTATGTGTTGGAGTGCTAAATTGACCAGATTAAACTGATGTCCAATAACAGCAAGAGGTAGCTCCATGTTGTCACCTCGGAGGTCCACCAACAACTGACAACGATCTAGAAAAGGCAAACTATTTATACCATTTCTCAACACGCATGTAGTACGCAACTAACACACAACTAATAGGTTGGGGATACACTGGGAATACGCACAATAGGTTGGGGGTACGCTACACACGCAACAGGCACACAACACGATTGCAACATGATCGCAACACATTCGCAACATGTACGCTACAAAAACCTGGCCAGATACCTCAAATTTGGACCTGCGATCACCTGCGTTCATAACTTATGAGTTGCGTACCTGTTGCGATCATGTTGCAATCGTGTTCCGTGCGTAGCGTACCTGTTGCGTCCCTGTTGCGTATAAATTGATCGCAGGCATTCGCAGAGAATTATTGAACATGTTCCGCGTGTGTCTGCGATCACCTGCGTGCTTGTTGCGTACTTCAAACCTATAAAACCTATTAGTTGCGTGTCAGTTGCGTTTGCAACTTATGACCACTATTTTTTTTTCGCAACCAAATGCAACTGGTGATCGCTATGGTGTGAGGGCACCATTACATCAGTACAACATCGCCCTAGAGTTATTACGCATTGTCACATATGAATATAGGGTCTCTTCAGAGCTAAAGCTTCACTTCAAATACTACATTTAAATGATTTTTTCTTTCATCTTTTTCTTCATCGTATTCTCTCCCATGTGAGTTCTCATGTGTGTCTTTACGTGACTCGAATGTGAGAAGGCAGCATCACACATTTCACACTTATATGGTTTCTTTCCTGTGTGAGTTCTCATGTGTGTCTTCAGATTCCCCGATGTTGAGAAGGCAGCATCACACAGTTCACACTTATATGGTTTCTCTCTCGTGTGAGTTCTCATGTGTACCTTCACATCACCCAGGCGGGAGAAGGTAGCATCACAGAGATCGCACTTATATGGTTTCTCCCCCGTGTGAGTTCTCATGTGTATCTTCACAGAACCCGATTGAGAGAAGGCAGCATCACACAGTTCACACTTATATGGTTTCTCTCCAGTGTGACTTCTCATGTGTTCCTTCACATGATTCAAGCGGGGGAAGGTAGAATCACACAAATCACATTTGTATGGTTTCTCTCCCGTGTGAGTTCTCATGTGTATCTTCACACTACTACGACATGAGAAGGCGGCATCACACAAATCGCACTTATATGGTTTCTCTCCTGTGTGAGTTCTCATGTGTTTCTTCTTATGATGCAGAAAGGAGAAGGCAGCATCACACAGTTCGCACTTGTACGGTTTCTCTCCCGTGTGAGTTCTCAAGTGTAACTTCATGTAACCCAGGTGGGAGAACGTAGCATCACACACATCACACTTATGTGGTTTCTCTCCCGTGTGAGTTCTCATGTGTGTCTTCAGATTACCTGATATTGAGAAGGCAGCATCACACAGTTCACACTTATATGGTTTTTCTCCAGTGTGTGTTCTCATGTGCGTCTTCAGATGATATAAGCGGGAGAAGGCAGCATCACACAGTTCGCACTTATACGGTTTCTCTCCCGTGTGAGTTCTCATGTGTATCTTCAAAACACTCGATCGTGAGAAGGCAGCATCACACAGTTCGCACTTATACGGTTTCTCTCCCGTGTGAGTTCTCATGTGTATCTTCACACTACTCAGACATGAGAAGGCAGCATCACACAGCTCACACTTATACGGTTTTTCTCCTGTGTGACTTCTCATGTGTATCTTCACACTACTCAGACATGAGAAGGTAGCATCACACAAATCGCACTTATACGGTTTCTCCCCCGTGTGAGTTCTCATGTGTACCTTCACACTACTCAGACATGAGAAGGTAGCATCACAGAGATCACACTTATACGGTTTCTCCCCCGTGTGAGTTCTCATGTGTACCTTCACACTACTCAGACAGGAGAAGGCAGCATCACATAGATCGCACTTGTATGGTTTCTCTCCCGTGTGAGTTCTCATGTGTGTCTTCACACTACTCACACAGGAGAAGGCAGCATCACACAGTTCGCACTTATACGGTTTCTCTCCCGTGTGAGTTCTCATGTGTGTCTTCACACTACTCACACAGGAGAAGGCAGCTTCACACAGTTCACACTTATACGGTTTCTCTCCCGTGTGAGTTCTCATGTGTATCTTCATATGATGCAGATAGGAGAAGGCAGCATCACATAGTTCGCACTTATACAGTTTCTCTCCCGTGTGAGTTCTCATGTGTGTCTTTAGACTACCTGATTGTGCAAAGGTAGCATCACACAGATCGCACTTATACGGTTTCTCTCCCGTGTGCGTTCTCATGTGTTTCTTCAGGTCACCCGAGTGTGTGAAGGCAGCTTTACACAGATCACACTTATACGGTTTCTCTCCCGTGTGAGTTCTCATGTGTGTCTTCAGATTACTCGATTGTGAGAAGGCAGCATCACACAGCGCGCACTTATAAGGTTTCTCTCCCGTGTGACTTCTCATGTGTATCTTCACATTACTCTGACAGGAGAATGCAGCATCACACAGCTTGCACTCATATGGATTTTGCCCGGCATTAATTCTCACGTACTCCATCGTGGTTCAAGGAAAGCTGCCACGTACTGGTCACACACGTGTTTTGCTTTGTAGACTGCCTCGTCACACTTGTAGAATTCCTATATAGGCTCTCCTACAAATTAGTAAAGAGAATACAAATAAATGCATGTATTGATGTAGAACAAAAACGCGCCATGTTTATGTTTGCAATATAACTGTTTATTCTGAACATCGAATTAATATCACCTAAACATCACGCGTCATTTAACGACTGTAAGGTCAAGCACAAAATATATCACGAAACTAAATACACTGAATTAATATAAGAAACATCCGTTTACCCAATGAAGTCACTGAACGTCCATGTGGTGTTCTCGTATTAGACTGATGTTACAAACGTTAATGGTGTGATTATATACCTGCTGTTATGATGAAACCGGTCCGATATCCTGACACCTGGGTAACCGGTCTGATCTCCTGATACCAGGACACAAGGTGGACGCTTCCCCTAAATAATTACAAAAGCAACTGTGCACCTCGCCCACAAACATTGCTGTAAAACTATCTCATGGTCTCTCCTGGGCTTGGTGCTTAAATGGCATCCGTACTGTGTAGGGATGTCGACTGTTATTTCTACCAAAGCAGGACTAACCAGCCTCGTAAACAAACACTAACAACAAATCACTGTATATATAATGTTCTTATGCACACCAAGCAATCCCGCATCTCTGACTTCTTGAACTCTGAGCTCTCACAGCATCCTGCAACCCTTTTTAATGTATCTCATTTCATGTATATTAAACAATGACTGGTGACACCTACAAACCATATATTTTACAACTGCGTAAGTAATTAAGGTCCTGGAGTATGCATGTGTTTTTAAGCCATCTTATGTCTGATTTAGCGATGGCTATAATGATGGGGATATAGCGTAGTTCAGTCTTCACAGCTTGCTCGGCACCACCTTATTGGTTGTGTTATACAAGGACTAGCATAGGCACATTGCGCTGCTCAGGGGGAAACGCCCAGGGACAACTTGCATAGAGTCGCAATAGATGAACAAAATACGAATGGGGGTTAAAAATATTCGAACAACAACAGTTTGAAACATTGCATGATTTCATGTAGTCAAAGTCTTCTAAATATACATTGTGTAGAAAATGCGCCAAGTTACTATGAGTATGCTTCTCTGGCGGTGCCTCAACTGGTGACGTCATTAGCACACGCTATTCCAGAATGTGCTTTGAGCCATTCCAACACGCATTGCGTGCTACGACAACAGCAGCCATTTCGAAATATTCGTACCTTTGATTTTTTACTTGCTTTTAGATAGTATTTTTTACTTTTAGTCATTCCTTTTAAACCAGCTGATTCTCGCAACAAAATGCTTAAAAACACCTACTGTGAGCATACTTGCAGTATGAAAACATGACCAAATGTTCGCATTAAGCCAGAAATGTGAATCGAGGTGTAGTAGAGCATTTTGAAAACTTTTTGAGTTTTGGCGTATAGATTAATCAACATATCGATCATATCGAGAAAATCACCCTGTCGAACGACAGCAGAAAGATGAAAGTGTTAATGACACTGTAGCTCACCACAAAAAATGACACAAATGAGTGAGTGAGAAGAAGTCAGTTTTAATTGAGCAACCATTGACGTACATTATAGAAACGAAGAGTATATATCCATGGGAGAACTCCCATTATATGCTCTTGATAACTATGTGTAATTTTTTATGTAAAAATAAATTTTTGAGATGTGAAAGTCTGAGATGAGGGTGAATGATGGCGTTGCACCTAAATGAT